CAATATCTACATCATTGATGAAGATATTGAACAGTACGGGTCCCAAAACAGACCCTTGAGGAACTCCACTTGTTATCCCTTTCCAGCAGGATTTAGAACCGTTAACAACAACTCTCTGACTACGGTTATCCAGCCAATTATGCACCCACCTTATCGTGGCCCTATCTAAGTTATATTTGCCTAGTTTATCAATAAGAATATCATGCGAGACCGTATCAAATGCCTTACTAAAGTCTAGGTATATGACATCCACCGCTTCTCCCTTATCCACAAGGCTCGTTATCCTATCAAAGAAAGCTATCAGATTAGTTTGGCATGACTTGTTCTTCACAAACCCATGCTGGCTATTCCCTATCACTTTAACAACTGTCTTTTGCTCCATGTTGTCCTTATTGATTGCCAGCCTCCCCGGTTGGGACTGAATGATCTTGTTTCACGCCAAGATGTCCCCGCCCAGAGCCACGGTGGAGCAGCTTGCAGGGACCATAGCATTATTCCGCTCCCTGTGTTTCTCTGTGCTTGCCTGGGTAATGTTCTTCCCTTACAAATTTCATCTTGTTGTACTGTGCATCCAAACGATTCAGTGATGGAGCGCACCGGGAAAAAATTATAATGCCATTAAAAGTTATCATAAATTTCAGATCAGCATCACTTCTAATCCGATACACAATTTTACTGCCTCTATAAAGTAGGTGATTTGCAGTGGTCTGAGGCGTCGCCTGGAGCGTTTTACTTCTTTTTAAATTAAACACACCAACTTTGTGCTGAATTCAGCGAGCGGACATAAAAAAAGGGGTAAAAAGGAGAGGGAAGGGACATCAGATGGGAATTGCAATTGAATCTTTATATATGCCATCTTGGCACTGTGGTATTAAATATAGTGCCAGGTAAATAGATGTGCTGAAATATTCAGAATAAAAAACAAACGTTCCGAAGGCAGAAGAACAGAGCTCTGAGAATGGCTCCCTTGTGGCTGTGCTTTAAAGGGCCAAAGGCTGTTGTTTAAACCCACTGAAAGCTTTGGGGTCTTGTGTAGTTAATGCACTAAATTATATACCCGGACACAAGTGTCTGTTTTATATAGTTTGTTATGTGCTTTCTAAATGCTCCCCCGGGAGGAGTGGTAAACACAGACTATCCAATTAGCATAAATGTGCCATCAGGCCACATTTCCCATCGAAAACGTTTAGCATTGGAAGTGTAAATTGACGACATTTCATAAAGACGTATTAGATTAGCGATGTAGTAATTATGCAACAATATAATAGCGGGGCCGTTTCCACCTGCTTTGTCGATTCATAGGATCTAAGGCCATGTGGGACTGTTATATCTTCTAATCTGACCCTTTTTATGGCACAGAGCAGAGGATTCACCCAGGAATTCTTGCATCTAGTCCAATAATTTGTGGCTAAACCAGAGTGTGTTTCCAAAGAGATCCAGTCTTGATTTAGCGCCCCCAAGTGGGGTTGGACATATTATTTGCCTCGGGAAGCTGGTCCAATGGTTAATTACTCTAGTTTTTTTTAAAGTCACAGCATATTTCTAAACATTGTTAGTCTCTAAGGTGCTGCAAGACTATTTGTTGTTTTTTTAAGTTTTTCCAGTTACAGACTAACTCGGCTCCCCTTCTGAAGCTTTTGAGCGTATTTCCAGCTTGAGTTGTTCTAACTTTAACTTCCAGCCACTGGAGCTGCTAAATCAAAGAGTCCGCTGCTACCGGGTATCCCCTCTCTAGATTGGTGCTAATCCATGGAAGCTGACCTTCTAGCAAAGTTGATGCATGGACTCTAATACTCAACTGAGCTACTGCTGTTGGGAGAACAATGTTTCATTCAATTATAGCCGCGGATTAAATGGCTCCTTATTGTGAACCGTCGAGTGGTGTCAGGCAGTTCAAGCCCACAAAAAGGTTAAAATTATTCCTGAGATTGTTGTGCAAAGCCAAATGTGAAAGTGGTGATGTCTGTGTAACCTACACACCCAGTGGGAGAGATAAGAACAAGGGAGCTCTACAGCCTGAGGCTCGTACACTTCGCTCCAGAGGTCCCAGGTTCAAATCTGTTTGGTAGTGGTTACATCTGCACTAGGAAATGATTTCAAAATACAGTAATTCCTCATTTAACACAAGCCTGCTTAACACGTTTTTGCGATAGCACGATTTTTTTTAGGGAACGTTTTTTGAATTACATGACCGTCCCTGGAATAACACGATTTCCCCAGCTGGCCCATTGCCGGTGGCTGCATGGGGCTTCCCCCATCTCCCTGCAAAGCAGCGGAGGGTTCACTGCTCACCGCACTGCTCCCTTGCAACCTCCCCTTGCCGGATGCAGTGAGGGTCCCGGCAGACCCATCACAGGGGCATGCTCCCAACCCAATGCCCCTCCCCTCTCCTCCCCTTCTCTTCCTTTCCCCTCCCCAGAGCCAAACACCTCCCCTCCTTGTTGTAACCCACTCCCCTTTCTCCCCCGACCTTATATCCTGGTCCCAACAGACACCCCCGCTTGAAACGCAACCCCCACCTTTTCCATTACTTTCAATGGGAAAATTGACCCCACATAACACGTTTTCACTTAACAGGCTCGTTTTTTGAAACACATCGATAGTGTTCAATGAGGAATTACTGTAACTAAATTCAAAATAATAACTATTTTGAAATAAGGTTATTCCCTGTGAAAAGCAGGCGTACAGATGTGTGGAAATACAGCAGGGGAAAGGTTGTTTTGAAGTAACTCCCACTGTAGACCAAGGCTTACACAAGTGCATGAAATGTTTTTATGTCGAGAACTGGTTTTTACTGTCATCGCCTCCCAAAGAACCGAGAAAGGTTAATGAAACAAATAGCATCAGCCTCCCCGTTGGTTGTAATGTCTCCATTGGCATTTCTTGCATGAGGGAGTGCGTAGCAGGAGAACGGACTTCACACCTTGGCCTCTCAAAATGTTTTCTCCACTCCTCTGTTTTCTCCCCTCCGTCTGCTCTTCCTCACGGGTTGCTCTAATAATTTGTAATGGTGGGGCCATGCCAAGCTTTTTGGTAAGCGGTCAAGGGCCGCACATTTCTATGAAGGGGCCGCGGGGTGAAATCCTCGGCTGGCGGAAATCCGGGCTGTTCCTCTAGACTCAGCCGCACTGAGGATCTGTCCCATAATGCCACAGAAGCAGTTTGGCACAGTTCCGTCCTTGTGACCTGATTCCAGGAACCAAAGGGCCGCAGGTTAAGCTACAGCTCTACTGGCCGTGCTCTGCGGGGTAGCACGTACTTCGCTCGCTCCTCTGGGTGCTGCAAATCATGGCAGCTGGGCTGTTCAAGCGTGTCAGGAGTCGGAGTACAGCTGCAGCAACCGGTGGCTCACTGTGTTTGCGGAGGTGCCATTGACTGTTCCCCGGGGGGACACACTACGGACACAGATGAGTTAATTTGTGCGGCTCACTATTCAAATTCAAGGCTTGTTTAATCAGGAGGTATTAGTGACTTGACAGGAATCTGGCTGGAAGGAAGAGGTGGGGGTGGATATACACAAGGGCTCGGAGAATGTGTCTCTATTGGCAAAACAACGGTGTTGCTCCTCCGCTAGCGTCACAGACCAGAAAGGCAGGGAAAAGGAGCTGGCTGAAGATATGAGGACTCTGCACGGCCGATTGGCGAAGGCAGGGCTGAGGGAGCCCCGCCCCTTCTGCTGAGACCCTGCCCCTTCCCCGCCCCCCCCATGCTCCCTGTCCAGCCAAGGCGAGGGGAGAGGAGTGGGCAGATGTGCTCTCACCCCGGCCACACCTGCCCCGGAGAAGAGTGCGTCCTCTACATATCACCGGCCTGGCCTCTCCGGCCCCCGAGCATTGGCAGGGCGGGTGCTGGGGGCAGCAACACCCCGCCCCCAGAATGCCTATAGTAGGTGGTCTGGGGGCGGAGTGTGGGCGGGGCTATGCCTGGCAGTTTGGGAAGGAAGAGCCTTCCCCCGCCTTACATACCCGACGCCTGTGGGACTCCATGTTTCTGAAACCAAACTGGATCTTTATTAAGTGACCTATTTACGGAGAGGCTGCAACCGTTGCTAACATTCCAACCACGTGTACACAGACTGGCTTCCTAGACCCTCCTGCAAATACTTCCCTTTTTCCGCCTGTGCTCCTCCTTCCAAGTCCTCCGCAGGGTACTGCAGCAGTGATATCTTTATGAGAGGCCTTCTCACGTAGACATCCGTGGAATGGTAGCGATTTGTACCGAAGACAGCCTGTGACTTCAGCCCCATCAGAAACAATGAAAGAGATGGAGAGGAAAATCATAGATACTTGAGACAGCCTCAGTAACATATGCCAAGGCCCCAGGGAAGTGGTGGCCATCTTTACTGAAGGAAATACTTTAATCCTATTGAGTAGCTCCAGTCCATTATAAATGTCGGGAAATCATGGGCTTTATTAATTAGGGCAAATTGTGACTATAATGGGAAAGATAGGAGACAGCAGTCATTCACAACTTAAGGCATTTCTACACAAAGGAGAAGATTGACCTCCAGAGGTTGATCTTCTGGCGTTTGATTTAGCGGGTCTAATGTAGACCTGTTAATCAAACGCTGAGGGCAGCCCCCATCAGCGGCTGGTATGCCTCATTCTGTGAGGAGTAAGAGAAACTGGCAGAGCGTGTACTCTCATTGGCCTCCTACCGTGTGGACACTGCCGTTGCTTGGTTTAAGGTAAGCCGACTCCAGCGACGCGTTTTGCATAGCTTGAGTTGCGTACCGTACATTGACCTGCCGAGTGTAGTGTAGACCAGGCCCGACAAGTTAATTTTGTCTTTCCCACGTGAACTTTCAAAGATTTTTAACTCTTTGGAAAGTCTGAATAATAATAATAATAATAAATCAGCCATTGGGAGCCAGACGAGGATGAGAGACAGAGGAAAAGTGATTCTTCTTAACGGTTCCGTTTTCAAGGCATGCTATCCCACCAACAGTGTCACAGCTCTGGTTAAAAGTCCTCCGAAAAGTCAGTCCTCCCCCACAGATCATGGCCTGTACAAGTGGGAAGGTGAAAAATGGGAACTCGGCCTTGGTGAGTTCACCTCTGCAATGCCGGAAGAGGCCAAGATATTGCCTCGAAGACACAGGCCTGCGCGGAGGTGGCTGCAGGGAGCAGCCACCTCAGTCAAAGTTCTCAGGGGGTTGCAGGCCAGGAGAGGCTGGGCCTGCCAGCGCCCCCAAGGGAGCACTGTAAGGAATACGCAGAACCAGCCTCTTTGCTGGGACCTGAGCTTCTCCTGCAGCGGGCATCAGTCACTAGGTAGAGCAGACTCTGCCTTCCCTTCAATGCAGCTGTGGTGATTGTGCATGGCACCACACGCTTGGGGGAAAGCCGCTAGGTACCCTCTTGTGCCATGTACAGACCAAGCACAATCTGGTGTCCACTGTATAGAATCATAGATACTAGAACTGGAAGGGACCTCGAGAGGTCATCGAGTCCAGGCCCCTGCCCTCACGGCAGGACCAAGCACCATCTAGACCAGTGGTTCCCAAACTTTTTGGCATCACGCCCCCTTTTTGATTTTTGAGAAACCCTCATGCCCCCGCCCCATGCCATAGCAGCAAAACTTGTTGAGCAAAAAAAAAAAAGGAACTGACCAGTGCCAAAAACCAAGAATAGCAGCACAACTTCGGGGGGGACGGGCGGAAGAAATTGACGAGGAGAGGGGGTTGGGTTGCCTCATGCCCCCCCAGGAATTTCTTCATGACCTCCAGGGAAGCACGCCCCCCAGTTTGGGAACCCAGGGTCTACACCATCCCTGACAGGTGTCTGTCCAACCTGCTCTTAAATATCTCAGTGATGGAGCTTCCACAACCTCCGTAGGCATCTTATTCCAGTGTTTAACCACCCTGACAGGTAGGAAGTTTTTCCTAATGTCCAACCTAAACCTCCCTTGCTGCAATCAAAGCCCATTGCTCCTTGTCCTAACCTCAAAGGCCAAGGAGAACAATTTTTCTCCCTTCTCCTTATGACACCCTTTTAGATACTTGTAAACAGCTCTCATGTCCTCCCTCCGTCTTTTCTTTTCCAAACTAAACAAGCCCAATTATTTTAGTCTTACCTTGTAGGTCATATGTTCTAGACCTTTAATCATTTTTTGTGACTTTACCTAGATAACAATCCATGCAATGTCATGTTTTCAGACCACCCGAAAACCTGAGGCCAACTTTTCTTCGGAAACTAAATGACCTTAGTTTTTTCTCACACACACACCAAACTTTTCCCAACATTTTCTCAATCTCTCTCCTATAATTTTGGCAACCCTAAAAAGAATCTATTTTAATGACCTTCTAATACTGCATTTGCAGATAGGCCGTATTCTTATTCGTTTCACTACACAAGTGGACAAGAGCCCTATAGTAGAAAGGGCAATTGTTAAATACTGATACAGGTAGAAAACGGATAGAACTTAACGACTGGCCAGTGGCCTGAATTGCACATGTCCTAGTTTCCTACTTGGGTAGATGATTACATTCCATATAGTGGGCCAGATTCTCCACTGCTGTCAATAGGCATCGTGCCACTGAAATCAAAGGAGCTGTGCTGATTTAGAACACCTGAGGATCTAGCCATGTAGGAGTTTGGCACGGCTGCCATATGAGGAGAGATTAATAAAACTGGGACTTTTCATCTTAGAAAAGAGGAGACTAAGGGGGGATATGGTGGGGTCTATAAAATCAAGGCAGGTATGGAGAAAATGCATAAGGAAAAGTTATTTACTTATTTCCATAACATAAGAACTAGGGGTCCCCAAATGAAATGAATAGGTAGCAGGTATAAAACAAACAAAAGGAAGTATTTCATCATGCACTGCACAGTCAACCTGTGGAACTCCTTGCCAGAGGATGGTGTGAAGGCCAGGACTGCAACAGGGTTCAAAAAAGAACTAGATACATTCATGGAGGGTAGGTCCATCAATGCTTATTAGTCAGGATGGGTAGGCATGCTGTCCCTAGCTTCTGTTTGTCAGAAGCTGGAAATGGGTGACCGGGGGAGGGATCGCGTGAGGGTTACCTGTTCTGTTCCCTCCCTCTAGGGCACCTGGCATTGGCCACTGTGGGCAGACAGGACACGGGGCTGGATGGGCCTTTGGTCTGACCCAGTCTGGCCGTTCCTATGTTCTTATATTTGTAAATAAGCAAAGAATGAGCAAGTGAGAAGAAAGCAAGACAGCCAAGTATTTCATGCTCTTCAAGAAAAAATTTGGCTTTTTCTATGGGAATTCCTCACAGAGTCTTAGCCGCCAAGCACCGTGCTGCAGTCTTGTCTTGCTTTTGTCAGGACTAATTACTTTGCGCTCTTATTAGTTAACCCCTCACATATCACTCGTTGCAGATACCCTCCGTCTTCATTTTTAGACCTGCCCAGACGGCCACGCCCACCACCACGGTAACGCCCCTCCCACGGTCCCTTCCTCCACCAGCAGAGTGCGTTGGGGCTTTCTTAAACTGCTCGGGCCTTGACTCTCCTGTCACCGACATCTTCATGAGGGAAGGCCTCTCTTGGGATTTCCCCGCATGCTTCTGCTGGCAGTGGTGCTTTTTATCCTTTGTGAGGTATTAACGAGTTGGCCAGTGTCTCTGTAGATTTGCCAGGAAAGAAAACGACGCTTGTTTTGGGATCCCATCCTTGAGACGTGAGGAGGGGCTTGGCGCTTTCTCACCGCCTCACCATTCTGGCACCCACAGAAATGGGCGCTCAGGTGCTTACTTCGTTTTCTCGAATAACAAACGCCGGGCCTTCCTTCTCACTCTCGTGTCTTCTCCATCTGGGGCAGCACTGACTTGCCCACAGACAAGCTAACTGTGTCTCTCTGAAACAGCTTCGTCCCTTCACCTCCAATGCCACACACACGCCAATCAGCATCGGCACCAAAGTTTTGTCATTAGCCTGTAACGATCTGCACAGGACTCCCCTTAAGCTCTGGGATGTTCTACCTCTGCCCACGTATTGACGGAACGTTTTTCTTACTAATGCTACATCCTCTATTCTTCATCCTCTGCCTTGCTTGATCTTTCTTTTTGTATCTTCTCCAGCTACTTAGATCCCACGTCTTCCCACCCTGTTTCATCCACTGTGGATGGTCTTATGATCCTTGGGTAGAACCACGTAAACCTAGGCCATCTCTGAGAGGATTTCCCCCAATCTTTTCTTAAAAACCTCCAGTGGTGGGGGGTTCCACAGCCCATGGGGCCAACGGTGGTCTGCTGGCCTGACTAAATTAAAACATACGCAACACAGAAGCCTTCCCTCCGCACTTTGGTAGACAAAGCCATCGGAACTATAAGGCGACGGTTGCTGAAAGGAAATTAAATGTGGTTCTGGCGGGGTGAGGGCTCTCCATCCAAGGTGGGATGGATGCACCGTGTCCTCAGATGAGAGCTCTCCATCCAAGGTGGGATGGATGCACCGTGTCCTTCTTCATGCCAACGGTTCCCAGTCTGGAAATCTGTGCATCTCACTGTTATAAGTCCCAGAGTAAGGCTTTGTGTTTCCAGTCCGGAACTCTGTGCATCTCACTGTTATAAGTCCCAGAGTAAGGCTTTGGGGTCGGAGGCAGTTGAGTTGCCCTTATCTGCAGGGCGAGAAGGCCCAAGGGCCTGGACCACGGGGTGCCACCTAAGGGTGGGTGGCAGTGTGGTAGAAGGACTTGGTTCCTCCCTGATCCACCTGGTCCCAAGATTGGGCCCCATCAGTGCCACTGAGTCAGAGGGATCTGACTGCAACACACTGACTGTTCTCAGCCCTGCAGCTAGCATCTCCCCTACCCACGCTACTTCCTTCCGTGTCCCTTGTAGTGATAGTCCAGACATCTCGGGGGCTCCAGACTCATTGGCACAGATGGCTCCCAGCAAGGGAGCCTTTCCTGGGCTGGAACCTGTAGCAAGAGTCCTTCCTCTTCAGCTGTTGGCCCAGACTGAGCTAAGCCACTCCCTTTTATATCACTGCCACACATGCCCAGTAGGGCTGGGTGGGCGTGGCTTCCTCAGCCCACAATGCAGACTTAACCCTTCCCAGTCTGGTGCAGGGTGGGCGCAACCTGTCACCATGCTATCGAGTGTGTGGTTCTGCATTGTCCACACACAGGCAGACAATCTGGAATACAGTCACCCAGATAACAACGCAAACAGGTGCAGTAACAATAAACTCGTCCAAATTTTATTCTGTCGCATGATTTTAGTACTCTAGCAAGTGTGAGAACCCCTCAGGAAAAAAAAAAAAGAAGAAGAGCTGCATCAATATTTTGTGGTCCAGCAATGGAAAAATCCCTGGCCACCGATACGGAAAGATTGTTTCTTGCGCATAGGGGGCCAGACCTCTTTTGGAGAGATGATGCACAGAACAAATGACACGCTTTTTAAGTGAAGAGAAATCTGGAGTGATTTCAGTGATATATTCGACAGTAAAGATGATTAATATTGATTGTTTTCTGGGAACAGCTCACATACACCGTTGGTGTTGGAGGATAAAATATATCAAATTGTTGCTTGCTCCATCAGGAGTTCTGTGGAGGACTTATTTATTCTGGTAGTCAGGACGGCTTGGTCTGTCCTTTATTTCTTCAATGTATATGGATTTGGCGGGTATGCTTCTTTCATAAACCCATAAGGTTCGAAGGGACCGTAAGGGCCATCCGGTATAAAACCATCCAAGAGAGAAGGCTGTCTAGCCTCCTTTGAAAACTTCCATACAGTTAGGAAGCTTTTTGGAGATTTAATCTAAACCTGCTCTGCTGTTGTTTGACTCTGTTGTCTCTTGTCCTGCCTTCTGTGGCAAGAAAGAGCAATTTTTCTCCATTTTTTATGGCAGCCTTTCAACTGTTTGAAGACTGCTATAGTATCCCCCCTCAGTGCTCTCTTTTCCAAACCAAACATAACCCGTGTCTTCAGCCTTTGCTCATTTGGCTTGTGTTCCAGCCCTTTGATCATCTTTGTCACTTGTCTCTGGAGCCTTTCCACTTTTGCTACATCCTCTCCATGCATTGGTGGCCAAATCTGGACACAGTACACCAGCTGAGGCCTCACCAGCACCAAGGACAGGTTGAACCTCTCTAGTCTGGCACCCTTGGGACCTGACTGGACCCGGACCGGAGAATTTGCTGGACCACGGGAGGTCAAAATGATCTAGCAGCATCAACAGCACTTCCACTGCTCTTAGAAGTCATGTAGGGGTAAATTAGAGCGAAATAACAGCACAGAACATTGAGAGCTGGGATTGGTGGCGGTAAACAAAGTTTATGGGACCGCGGGAAACTTGGCCCCACCCATGAAAAGTGGACACCCAGCTACCTCAAATCATGCTGGATGACCGATGTTTCTGGACAAGAGAATTCTGGACTAGAGAGGTTCAATCTATAGAGCGGTACTATCGCCTCCCTTGACTTGCATGCTCCGCCTCTGTTAATGGAACCCAAAAGCGCATTTGCTTATTTTTTTGGCAACAGCATCACATTGTTGACTTGTGTCGGGGCTGTGATCCATCAGGACTCTCACATTCTTCTCAACAGTTCTGCTGGCAGGCCAGTCCTCCCCATTCTGTATGGCTGTGTCTAGACTGGCCACTTTTTCCGGAAAAGCAGTCGCTTTTCCGGAAAAACTTGCCAGCTGTCTACACTAGCTGCTTGAATTTCCGCAAAAGCACTGACGATCTCATGTAAGATTGTCAGTGCTTTTGCGGAAATACTGTGCTGCTCCCGTTCAGGCAAAAGTCTTTTTCTGAAAAACTTTTGCGCAAAAAGGCCAGTGTAGACAGCAGAGGTTTGTTTTCCGTAAAAAAGCCCCGATTGCGAAAATGGTGATCGGGGCTTTTTTGTGGAAAAGTGCATCTAGATTGGCCATGGATGCTTTTCCACAAAAAGTGCTTTTGCGGAAAAGCGTCCTGCCAATCTAGACGCGCTTTTCCGAAAATGCTTTTAACGGAAAACCTTTCCGTTAAAAGCATTTCCGGAAAATCAAGCCAGTCTAGACGTAGCCTATTTGTGTGTTTCTTTTCTCTCCTTTTAGAGCAGCACCGTACATTTCTCCTTGTAGAATTTCATCTTATTGTCTATAGCCCCGCTCTCCAGTTTATTAATAGCCCTTTGAATTTTAGTTCTGATCTTCAAAGTGTCGGCAACTCCCCCTCACTTGGTTTCATATGTAAATTGGATTAGAATGCTCTCTATTCCTATATCGATGTTACACAACACCGGACCCAGAACACACCCTGATTCAGTCTCTATATCTGTAAAGCTAACTCCGCGAAACCAACCTCCTCAAATTCATTTTGGTACCTTCTACACCCCTTACCATTTTGATTTCACACTCGGCTCTGGCTGGTGTGTCTGGTAGCTCATTGGGGTTGTCTTCTGAAGATTCCTGCATTGTTTCTTCGTTTCACAATGATCTTGTGTTTGTGGCTCATTCTGATGCCTGGCCTCGCTATTATTTTGTAATGCGATTTATTTATTTTTGGCACCCTGCCTTGCCAAAAAGGCAGCACAGTCGAGAGCGCATCAGACTGAAGAGCTGAAAATTCCCGCCGTAGGGAGGATGGCCCAGTGAATTGTGCACTTGGTTGACAATGAGCTGACCTGGGTTTAATTCCTACTGCATTTCCAGACATCCCATGTAACTTTGAACTCTAACCAGTCCCTTCTGACCTTCTTTGCTATTGAGATAACACTGTATGCACTAACTTCCTGGAGCGTTATATGAACCCCGAGGCAACCTCCCACCTCTGCCTCCCCTGTGAGTAGGCTTGGCTGTCAAAGACCGTAGGGAGGTGGAGGGGCCATTTCAGAGATAAAAGGGGTCTGTTTACAGGCTGTGAATTGGGAGAGTCCTAGTTCTAGGGCTCAGATTCTCATGGGGAAGGCAGCCCCTTTCAGGTTCCCTGACAGGAAGGGAGAACAGATGAAAAATGTGGGGACTGTGGGGCCCTGAACTACTTTGAAAATCCTCT